GGAAGCCAAAGCTACTCATGCTGCCTTGATCAATGTTACTGGTAAAAGGCCATTTATACTCACTAGATCAACTTTCGTAAGCTCCGGAAAGTACACAGCTCATTGGACTGGAGATAATGCTGCAACATGGGATGATTTGGCATACACAATTCCAGCCATTTTAAATTTTGGACTCTTTGGGATTCCAATGGTTGGAGCTGATATTTGTGGCTTTTCTAGAGACACAACTGAAGAACTCTGCCGGCGTTGGATTCAGGTAAAACCAATTTTCAGAATTTTGGAGATTGGATTTGTACATTTAGTTTTTTGTGTCTCTCAAATTGTGTGAATTTTCCAAATGCAGTTAGGTGCCTTTTACCCATTTGCAAGAGATCACTCTGATAAGTCTAAAGCGCGTCAAGAGCTGTATCTTTGGGATTCAGTTGCTGCAACAGCAAGGAAGGTGCTTGGGCTACGATACAGGCTACTCCCTTACTTCTACACATTAATGTATGAGGCACACACAATAGGGACTCCTATTGTAAGACCCCTTTTCTTCTCATTCCCTCAAGATACCGAAACTTATGGAATCAATACACAGTTTCTGATTGGAAAAGGTGTCATGGTGTCACCTGTGCTAAAGCAAGGAGCAGTTTCCGTTGACGCATATTTCCCTGCAGGAAATTGGTTTGATCTCTTCAACTATTCAAATTCGGTGAGTGTAAATCCAGGAAAGCAAGTGACTCTTTCAGCACCATCTGATCACATAAATGTGCATGTTCGAGAAGGTAATATTTTGGCCTTGCAAGGAGAGGCCATGACAACTAAAGAAGCCAGGAAGACGCCATTTGAACTCTTGGTGACTATCAGCAGCAAGGAAAATAGCACAGGAGAAGTTTTCTTGGATGATGGAGAAGAAGTGGGCATGGGAGAAGAGGAAGGTAAGTGGAGTTTGGTGAGATTTTATGGTGGAATGGTAAAGGACAATGTTACAGTTAGATCAGAAGTTCTGAACGGCAACTTCGCTTTGAGTCAAAGGTGGATCATAAACAAAGTGACTTTTATAGGACTAGAAAATGTAGAGAAAATGAAAGGGTATAAGGTGAAGATTACGACAGGAACAGAGCTGATTGAGAATTCAGTTATTAAGGCAAGTGGGAACAATGTTCTTACAGTAGAAATCTCGGAAGAATCACTGCTGATTGGGAAAGAGTTCATGTTGGCACTGAAACTCAACAATTCATCAAAAATCTCTTAAAAGAGCGGACATTATTGGCATACAATTACTGCTATTAGCAGATGTACAATAAATCTTATTGAAGATTAGTAATGAATCTGAATTCCGAATAATATTCACTTAGTATTGTGTATAAATTCCTAGAAATCTTAGGATAGTTCACAGTAGTATGTTATTGAGTTTTCCTAATAATTTCAAGAGTACTGTATATAACCTGTGATCATAACAAGCTGAGATGATTGATATTATAAGAACAATTTAACTACAAATAAGATATTACAAGTTCCATAAGGCTTGAAAGCACTCAACCAACCAAATCTTGATTCGGTGTTCGATTTTACGTGCATATAGTTTTCATGTTTGTGAGTGTTCAAGGAATAGAAATAGCATTTTAATCCTTATGGTTTTGATTTGCTAACAGTTTACAGATATTTATTTTTTTACCAACAAAAACGTCTTCAACTCAACACAAAAAAGGTTTATTTGACGTTCTAGCATTTGATACCTTTTAAAGATAAAACACTTGCTGAGGAAGCAGTGATTAGAAACCCAACATGTGCAATGACCCGGCTAGGCCATTGGGTCATGGGTCAAGCGGTTTAATTGGTTTGACCGACATGTCAATCCGGCATCCAAAGGTTTGAAATCTAACAAAATCACCTCTAAAAATCACATTGAAGTCCCCATAGGTTTGAAATCTTACAAAAACACTCTAAACACCATCATTGGCATCAGCAAATAAGGCCTATTTCCAGCAATGACAACACTCCTCATCACCACGAAAACACTCCCTTCAGCCTCCTGACGAAAATTCATCTCACCCTCCACCGTTCGCCTCCCCAATCACCGGCAACAGGGGGCTTTTTCCTACGATATTTTTTAGCGATTTTCGGTCGATTCACTCACCGAAAATCAACGCCGCTACCACCATTCCACTCACCAGCCATTCCTCTTCAAAATCCCTAACATTCTAGCCTTCAATTCTTCACGGATTGATGTCCTAATTTCTAGGGTTTTGAATGAATAGAAAATTTTGTAACTCGACCCGGTAAAGGCGACGAATCAAGGTTGAACTAGTTCAACAGGAAGGGTCGGGCCAAGTTCCTAATCATTGCTGAGGAGTGAGGAGTGAGGTTAAGTTTTAATTTTATTTTGATGATTAATTTTTATATTATGTATTATAATTAAAGAGTGAATAACATTCCCACCCCGAGGTATGATAAAATATAATAATTCTCTTGAGGTTTTTGAAATAACAAAAATCAATTTGTGGTTAATGAACTTGTTAAAATTTATACTATTAAGAGTTTGTAATCTTATCAAATTATCCTTCCACTATTTATTTTAACACTTAAAATTTAATGATAGAGAGATTTCTGTGATTTCTAAATCCTCAAAACGGTTTTTATTATTTTGTCATACCTCAAGGATTAATGCGTTGACCCAAATAAGAAAGAAGTCATATTGAGATTATCAATTTTTATATTAAAGCATATATATATTTTTATTTAGAACATAATCCTCTTATTTTATTATTAACAAAATAGAAAAAAGAAAAAATATTTTTAAATCTTTTCGGATTAGGAGGCAGTTATTTTGCTTAAAAAACAAAAAAACAACAACTTTTGTGTGAGTTGTAAAGTAGGTTAGAGAATGACTTGTCAAACCAAATGTGAGTGATACCTCCTCACAAGATTCCACATTTTTTTTTTTTTTTTTTTTTTTTGTGGTTCCTTTAAGAAGCTTTAGTCATTCTTATATTGTATTTCGAACCCTAATTTGATTGACAAACCTAATGCTATATATATCGCATTCAGTGAGCACAACCTCGACGAGCTAACAGTAGGAGAGCTCGATTTAGGGTTCGATGTAACCCTGATTGATAGCATAGGAGCAAAACTTTGGACTTCTAACCCTATATGATAGCAGTCGCTATGTATATCGCATTCGACGAGTACAAACACGGCAAGCTAAGTATTTTCAAGTCGTGAACGACAAGTAGAGTTTGAACTACATTTTCATAGCACTGATCATGATCTAGACCAAGACGTTGGACCTTTGTGAAACGATCACGTCAGGTCACTTGTGTAATTCTCGAAGACCCATGTCACGATCCATACTCAGTTCGTTGGTCGAGTCAAACTATCAGCCTCACGTCGTTTGTAATAGTGTGGCTCAAGATAAGTCAGGTCACGGCATAATCATGAAATTCTCAAGATTCAATCTTTGAACCTTAAGAACTGGATAGCTCCTATTATGCCTAAAAAATCAGGACTGATGTTAGCCTACGTCAGTGGGCACTAATTAGAGTTCAAGAAGGCTTTGTACCGCCTAAGAGCTGCCACGTCGCTTCATTAGATTCATGTTTTGTCTATGAGTGATAAAGGGTCATACACATGTCCAAGCCCTAGATAACTTGAGGATATTTCATAAATTATCAATCAATGGGAGGCAAGGAAGGACTTGTACGACACCTACCCACTTGCAGATTTGTAATCATTACCTTGAATTCCTCTACTATAAATAGAGGACCCCCCCTCTCATTTTTAGGATTCTGATCCTGAACCCTCATTCTGATTGTAATCTTTATTTTCAGAGCAAAGATAACTCATGAGAAAGAGGCTGACTTGATATTCTCTCTGAATACTCAGTTATTGTATCTCTGCTCGCTATTCACTATATGCGACCTCTTGTAATCTCTCATATATAAAAAAAACAGTGGATGTAGGATTCGCTTTAGGCATTCGAACTACTTTAAAAATCATGTCTCATTTATTATTTAGTCGTTGTATCTGATCATAATCATTCACATATAATTTCTGAAAACAGCTTAACACTTTGCACGTGCAAGTCGTAAATATCAAAATCACGCATCAACAACACACACACACACACACACACACACACACACACACACACACACACATATATATATATTTTCCTTTATTTAGCAGGAATCCAGATTTATGTTATATTCCTATTTTCCTTTATTTATCAGGAATCCATATTTACTTTCTTTATTTTGTTTACCTAGTATTTATTTAAATTTCTTTCTTATTTAAATTTTGTTTTTACTAATATGTTAGAGTTTCTTCAATAAAGTGTTATTTATATTTGTTATGCCTAAAAAATCATAGCCGACGAAAGCTTACAACAACAAACACCAATCAGAGTTTCAAAAGGCTTTACGTCGTCTAAGAGCTACCACATCACCCCAAGATTGAGAGGATATAGTTGTCACCAACCCAGCAGATTCAAGTTTTGTCTACAAGTGAATGGGGAATGCACACCTATCCATGCCCCAAATAATTTGAAAATGTTTCTTAAGTTATCAGCCAATGAGAGGGAAGGAAGAACTTGCATGACACATACCCACTTACAGACTTGTAATCATTACCTTAAATTCATCGACTATAAATAGAGGACTCCCCCTCACAAATTTGGGATTGATCATCCTCTGATTTTCACAATTTTTAATAGCAAAGACAACCTACGAGAAAAAGACTAATTTGATATTCTCTCTGAATATTCAATTATTGTACTTCTGTTCTCTGTTCATTATACGCGACCTCTTGTAACATTCATATATAAAAGAAACAGTGGATGTAAGAATCGCTTTAAATATCCAAATCACTATAAAAATCATCTGTCTTATTTATTATTCAATCTTTGCATTCAATTAAGTTTATAACATTGTCCCAACTCCAAAATCAGTTAATCATGTGTAATTTCTGAGACATGTTTAGCACTTTTCACATGCAAGATCATTGGTGTCAAAATCACGTATCAATAATAATTTATTAATAATCTTAGGATAGTAGTAGTCCAATGTATATGTTGCTATCAAAGCGAAATTGGATCTTAGTTTTTAATTCAATACTTATCAAATACGTTATATTCATTTGAATCAATTAACTCTTTAATTCAGATTTTTAAATTTGGGCATTCTATTCTACATTACTCCAGCTGAGTTGGGTGTTAAATATTATGATGTTGGTTTTAGTGATAGGAATAGGATAATTCTTTAGAGAAAATTAGTAAATAAATGATTCAAAAATTAGTAATGTGACATAATTTTATACAAATTCTATTGTTATTAAAAACCAGTTTCGAACGATGGGTTAGTGTTAGAGCCTTTTTTGAAGTGTAGTGCATAAAGCTGTGATAAACAATTTAATTACAAATAGATATTAGAAGCAGTTGAAACTTGAAAGGTCTCAGATGGACCAAGCATAAGTGAAGCAAATAATAAATCCTGACTCGGTGTTCCCTTGTATAGCTGTAGCTTTTTCAATTTGTTTTTAGTTATCAATAATGCTACGACGCGATGCAGTTTTGATTGTTCTTTGTAAGAAGTTTTTAAAACCTCACTAATCAGCCTAGTTCATAATGAATGACGTATCCCAGATGGAACGTAAAATCTCCTCCTTTCTACTAAACCACACAGGGCTGCTGATACTAACAATCTCCTTTCTACTAAACCATATGGGAGTCCCAACTAATTTTCTGGGCTCCTGATACTAACAATCATGCTTTTCCTAAATCTATGAATCAAATATGAAATAACCGCTCTTCCATGAGTTAAAATAATTTATCAGGATTTTCTTAACCTAGTCTCTCTCAATTTTGCACCATGTTCATCATAAAAAATAGAATTAGAATTCATACTCGCTTTCCCATCTACATGCAAATTCATCAGAAAAATTTTATTATGGAGAAACAAGCTCCCTGTTTATTTCTGTCTTGCACAAACCAACTTATAAGTACACAATATGACGACATCACCAACAGAATGTACACACCTCAACTTTTTCAAGACACATGAAATATTCCTCGTTGATGCAATATAACACATTCTGGATTCTTAGTGTATAGAAATTATGCAGAAAATTTCTCTCTGTCATGAGGGCGTGAATAATCAATATCTGGGCCATGAGGAATGATCCCAAAAGGATTGATCGTAGGATGACTTCCATAGTAATGTCGTTTGATGTGTTGCATATTGACTGTGCTTGACATGC